TATTCCTTTGTTCGTCCTCTTTCCCACCATCTTAACTCAATGAACTGCAATGAGTTTACACAGATAATAATGGAAAGATTATGAGACTGAAGATGTGTTGAATGCCTGCAGATTACTAGCTTTGATATGCCAACTTGCTGGCACCTTAGTAAGCATTTGACTAACAACCATGTCAACATTGTAATTCTTAATTGACTAACTGATCCTCCTTCAAATATTGGTGCGTGGAAATCACCTGTGTGCCAACTATCTCTAACTAGCCCCGCCATATGTTTCACCTTCTAAATACTTAGGAAATAGAACATACCTAAGCATACAATTTCTATTTGCTTGCACACTTGTGCATTTTCTCACCTGTTTTTCTTGCCTCAAGTCGACCAAGTTTATATGTTGACAGAGTAACCACATTGACTATATGTTATTGATTAATATTTCCTATCATACTATACCAGGCAAAGAGTTTGAAACCTATGCAAAAGTTGTTGTAAACGCGGCTGGGCCGTTTTGTGACTCTGTAAGGAAATTAGCTGACAAAGAGGCAACAAGTATGATCTGTCCTAGCAGTGGTGTGCATATCGTTCTTCCTGATTATTACTCTCCTGATGGAATGGGCTTGATTGTTCCCAAAACAAAGGATGGTCGTGTTGTTTTCATGCTGCCATGGTTGGGAAGAACTGTCGCTGGCACAACAGATTCCAACACTGTTATCACTCCACTTCCAGAACCACACGAGGATGAGATTCAGTTTATACTTGATGCGATCTCTGATTACCTTAGTGTTAAGGTATGTGATTTCACCAATAAGCTCAACTATTTTGCACGCCATTGGACCTGGAACTAATTAATCTAGTTGCACATTTGCTAACCTTTATCAAGTGAGGATATGTCCTAGATGGTCAAACCAGCTACTTGACTTGCTTTGGGTCATGCTCACTAGTGAGGCCCTGCAGTTTTGACAACTGTGGCCTTTGCTCTAGAATAAACTTTGGCAAAGTGCAGGTTTTGATAGATTAATAAATTGGATGGCAGAGATTATTGTTGCTAAGTTTGCATGGGGTTAGGTTTTAACCTTAATGGAGAAGCCTACATAAATTCGAAGGGTATGTAAATGCAGTGCTGAATCTAGTCCTCTTCTTTGTTTGTGTGTGTGTGTGTGTTAAGATTTCTTTTGGATAGTAAAAGTGGATAAATATAGGTTCGGCGCACAGATGTTCTTTCAGCTTGGAGTGGCATTCGCCCACTGGCTATCGATCCATCAGCAAAGAGCACCGAGAGCATCTCTAGAGATCATGTTGTATGCGAAGACTATCCAGGCTTGGTAACTATCACTGGTGGTAAATGGACCACTTACCGAAGGTAATTTTTTGTTTGTTTGATCGGAGCCTGGAAAGAATTATGAATGATTATGAGGGTTTTGTATTTTGTGATGTCAATAGGTCGTATCTGATTTAGCAAATCTTTACCTGTTGACCACGTGGATCACTAACATCAGTATTATTTTAACAAAACATCTTGACGTGAATAACATCATCTATCATTAGCTGAGTTCTGTATTTTCACCACCCACCCACCCCCCTCTTTCATTTCTTTATTTGGCTCCAAATTCTGTGCTTACTAGAATTAGTTTCAGCATGGCAGAAGATGCTGTTGATGCAGCTGTTAAGTCTGGAAAGTTGAGTCCAAAAAATGGAAGTGTAACTCACAATCTGAGGCTGATGGGTGGAGATGGATGGGAACCTTCATATTTTACTGTTCTTGCTCAGCAATATGTACGCATGAAGAGGACATATGGTGGAAAAGTTGTCCCTGCAATAATGGACACTGCTGCAGCTAAGCACTTATCTCATGCATATGGTACATTGGCAGAACGAGTAGCTGCTATAGCTCAGGTTGGTTGCATCTTTCAAAATTTAATATATATGATGCATGCATGCATTGCCCTGGGCTTGTTGGTTATCCATGCCGTACTTTGAATTTACACATTTGTGCTGCTATAAAGTACTTGTTTTTAATGAAAATCCAGTTTTGGTTTTTATACTACCTTTAAGAATTCACCTTCCTACAATTCAGAATGAAGGTCTGGGGAAGAGGCTTGCCCATGGATACCCTTTTATGGAAGCTGAGGTTGCTTATTGTGCCCGGAATGAGTACTGTGAATCTGCTGTTGATTTCATTGCTAGAAGATCACGACTTGCTTTCTTGGACACTGACGCTGCTGGCCGGGCCTTGCCACGTGTCATCGAGATACTGGCTGCTGAGCACAAGTGGGACAAGTCAAGGAAGGCACAAGAATTACAGAAGGCAAAAGAATTTTTGGAAACTTTTAAATCTTCTAAAAATGCGCATTTCCATGATGGGAAACACTGATAGTAAGTTCAAATCATTTTTTACTCGTTACTTAAGTCAATTCTTCTCGAATCTATAGTTACCATGTTGTTTTTATGTTTTAGGGTCGCGACTCCCCTGAGCTGGGTTTTAAGTAGCTCATTTTCTTTTGGTATACAAAGCAAGTTCGCCCCAACTTTCCTCGCCTACAGATAGACGAGGTTTTGATTTCTTTACTCCGCAGATTGCGACAACACGTGGTTAAATGTCCTACACGCATTCCGAAGGAGATTTGTTGCCTTTTCGCTTTTCACGCACAGTTATCCTGCCAAAATAATGCCCGGCCTTCTTGAGCGGAAGTGTATTGAATGAAATTGGTGACCTGACTAATCAACAACCAGAAATGGGTATGCTTTTTATATTTTTTTAACGTGTAATAAATTTCCCGTTTCCAGTTTCCCTGCAGTGTTCTCTAAGTAATGACCATCCCCCCCTCCCCCAGATGTCTGGAGCTGCCCTATGAGACTTTGAATAACGAGTCTAGGTTCAAATTTCTTTATTTGTTAAAATCACATTTTTTAATCAGTGCCGTTGTAGTATGTTGCGAAAATAAATGAATATGTTTTCGTAATTTTAGAGATGGTTGCTATAAAAATGTGAGTAGGTGTCTTGCAGAGTGTTCGTGAGCAATCTCTGTCCCTGCAGTGGACCTTGATATATGATATGAGACAAGATTGCTTCCTGTTCATCAACATTTGTAGTGTCCCATACTCCTCCCAGGGATTGGGATGTCACTGGTGAGAATGAACTAGCACCAATAACCCATCAAAAAATATTAGATGTTTTAAAGAAAAACTTCTCCAATTACATTGATATACAAGGAGAAGTTAAAATAGCTCATAAGTTATGATAAGTGGATTTATTTTTCATGCTATCATCCTGAATCTAAATTTGAAAGGAAAGTAGGAGAAAGAAAAATTTCATGAAAAATCTAAAAAAAGCGACCGTGAGGGAATTTAACGGGCCAACAATCGGTCAATCGAGAATACCCTAACATCAGAAAAACAGAAGAAGAAGAAAAGCAAGAAAGAAAGTCATTGTTAAATCTGAGGGTAAAGCCCAGACCGTTACAAACCCAACCCAAAACACACAAAATCTCAACGGCTAAGCTAACCCACCACCAGACCAATCACAGTCCTCCTCTAAAATGGCAGCAGCGCTCTCCTCTCTCCACCACCACCACCACCACCACCACACCCTCTTCAGAAAACCCTCACTCTATCACCTCAACAAACCCCTCCGTTCCAAACGCATCACTTCCTCCTTAGAATTCAACATCGCTTTCGCCCCTCCTAAACCGAAATTCCAATTTCCCCGCCAACCTCCGAAGCGACCCCGCTTCCCTCTCTCTCTCTCCCTCCAGGCCATCTCTTCATTCCCTGGATAATCCGAGGAGAAGATGAAAACCTCAAGCTCCATTCTCACCCTCCGGAGCGTTCCCTCCACGCTCTCACCGATGCCAAAACACAACAAAAGAAAAAGATAGAGGAGGTGAGGAAGGGGAGCGGTGGAAATGCGAAGACCAAGCTGGAAGTGGAGCCTAGGCGTTCTAAGGCGGCGCGTAGGTTCTACAATGACAATTTTAGAGACCAAGCACAGCCGTTAAGTAAAGTTCTCGCCGCTGCTGGAGGTAAATTGCTGTAAAAATCTCAACGTGTTTGTTTACTGCATACGTATTGTAATGTATTAGTAATCCTGTAATTAGTGGCGAGGAGCAGTGAAGAGTTGATTTTTGAAGATGGTCCTGCATACAATACTCCACGGGTAATTATAATATGAATATATGAATTCTCTATTAATAAAATTAGTATTTTTATTAGAATTTGGAATTTATTGCTTTGTTAATTTGTTGTGATGATGTCTAGACTCGAGTTGTTCCTGGGAGGGATGTTATATATGTTAACTGAAATCGGCTTATTTGATGATTAGTTTAAGAGTTGGGCAGGTACTTGTGTTATTGTTTATGATTTCTATTTGGTTTAGAGTCGGAAGTTATTAGTTACAATTGTTTTCTGTTTTGTAGGACTAGCGAAATCGAGGACTACCTAAACCACGATTATTTACTGTTGGACGACTTGATGTTGCCACAAATGGGTTAGTTATTGTGACCAATGTTGGTATGATGATAGCATTACGATTTGTGAATGTAATGAATTGGGATTTTCTGTTTGTTGTTTCAAAATTGAATGGATTGAGTAAGCAATTTATATGCTTTTCTTTTCCAGGAGATTTTGCCTAAGAAATAGCTCTTCCTTCATCAAAATTATCAAAGGAGCAAGTTTTCATGAGACTTTTCCTCTATTCTATCTGCAACTTTTAGGAGTAAAATTGTCCTAGAGAACAGATTTATTCATGAACGAAATTGCTTTTTAATCTTTTGTTAGAAGAGACTGGATGCGATTTGCTATGTATGTTTAGAAGTGGAGCATCCTCTGACTTGTAGTAGTTGCATGCGTAATTGCAGATATATTGCAACAATTGATGGTGCAGTAAGTAAGCGGTTTGCCATCAGTGAAGGAACAGTCATTGACAATGTCCCTTGCACCCCAGACTCCGTGGAGTTGTTACCACAACAACCAGGTGTATCAAGACCTCGTCTTCGTATTGTGGTGTATTTTTTTTTTTCTGTTCAGCCAGCTAGAATTATTTTCATAATTTATAGTACTGCATCCTTAAAGACATGTTATTATCACCTTTCCTACTGTGGATATAATTGTTTTCTCATACATGTGGAAATCTTTCTTTCGAAATTGACTTTCTTCATTGTCTTCGGACTTTAAATATACTTTCTCTGTTGTTCTGAATTCCAAATGGTGAAACAGTTTCATGCTTTTTTAAGAAGTGCATAAATGATAATTATTTTTGGATTACAATGAGATGGGTTTGATAAAAAAAAAAAAAAAATCTTGTTTTTTGATACTTGCTGAGGAAAAAGAAAAATATGGGGCAAAAATGCTGTTTATGATTGTGATGTAATGTCAATTATTTTTGCTGTGTGACCATTTTCTTTCAGTTTGTAGAACAACACGAGTTTCTTTCTGGTTTTGAGGTTTTGCTTTGTTTAATTAATTTCATCTCGGTTGATTATGACACTTAGATGCTAACAACCTTTTACTTTTGTTGCAGGTTCATGAAGGGAGGAACCATGAGATTTGAGAACTAGTAAAAAATGCTGGGCTTGAGGTTGGTTTTAGTTTTTGATGACACCCTTATAACATCGAGAGAAAAAAGAAAAAGAAAAAAACAGATACTGACACTGTATCATCAGCACTGGTATCTGCATCCTAAACCAATCATATCCTGTGAGGTCATGTTTGGGATTTAGTGACATATTTATCGCTTCAAAATCTTAAGTGCGGATTTAAATGATAAACATTCTGTCTTCTTGCATGCTTTTATCGTAAGAACTCACCAGGGACAATGTCAATAAACAGTTTTAGTAGCACTCATCGAATGTTTATTATTAATAGCAACTTCATGCTTGTCTTGTTTATGATATGTTACTGCTCATTGGTGTTTACATCGGATATTTCTCCATTATTTATTTTATCATTTTTGTTTTCAGATTCATGCATTGAATATTACCCACATTGGTGGTTTCAGACTCCCATCAGACCTCGGTAATTACCTCTGATATTTTTGCTGTTTTTTAGAACATTTTTAAGATTCTCTCTCATCTTTATTACTCAAATCAAAATTTTCAAATTGCTAAAATCAGAAGAAAGAAAAACAGAGCCTGTCTCCCTTGTTAGTTGCAGTAACTTAAGCAGACTCAATGTAGATACGGAGATCATAGAAGAAGAAATTAAAATTAAACAATTGATACATACGAGATAGATGTTCTGTAATAAATGGGGGGTGCCAGCCCCAAATTTACTCTCCTCCCCTGGGAAAAGGACTCACCAGTGTTGCTCATGGTGATTGAGGGAGTGCGTTTTTTAAAATGGACTGGCCTTTAAATTGAAGGGGTTGGTTTATCCTACTGCCAGAAGAAGCAGGCGAGCTATGTTGGGGAAGCTGCATTGCTAGTATTAAAACAGAAATGCATCCATTCAAATCTGGAAATTTCCTGGTTGCAAGGAGCACCTGTCTGCATATGAAGGAAATGTAAATGTGAGCGAGGAGCCTACATGTGTTTTTTCATGAGATCAAAATATTCGCTTGTCATATAGATCAAAGGTATGGAGATTTCATGACCCATTTTGATTCCTTAGTTGAACTAACATTGTTACCACTGTATAGAGTTTTTAGCAGATGCCATCTATAAATACTTACTATAGAGGCCATTCAGATGGATAAAAAGCAGCCTTACTTTTAAGACAGCTAAGGTAGACGCAAATGTAGGCTGTCGGTCATCTAGTTGGGCATCCCGTGCTAGGTTTCATTCGTTAACACCGAGAGAGAAACAGACAAGGCCCGTCCGGCAACTCCTGTTGCAATTCTCCTGTGTCTGTTCTTTTCAATAGTTTTACGTACAGCCTAGCCCGATGAGCTCGTGTGCTTGCATGTGCTCAACAATTGTAGGGTCTCACTTCACATGTTATTGATCCGTGAATAAATTCTCATGTTTCGATCTGTTGATTGATTACTTCCTGTTTTCATTCTTAAAAATACCATGGTTTTTACAAGGCTCTGCATCGTATTATGGTTTTGTAAGACGATGTATCTTGTCCTCAATAAAAAAAAAGAGAGTAAAGGACCACGCACCGTAAGGTGTTGGCTGGATAGTGAGCGAGGGAGTTTGCTTACCTAGATCCAAGTTATCATTTCACATGCGAGCTCAAGGAGAGATTGAAGGACTAATCTCTGTACGCGATAAGCTAAAACCAATTCAAGGAGTCTTGGGAACTAGTCTAGGAATACCAAGAAAAAAAAAAAAAGGAGAGTGGTTCGTAGCAAAAGAGAGACTAGAAAATGGACTGCATGAAGGGTTCCACACCAACTCTTAACATTAAACAAGTCGTGCAAGACTCAATGGTATCAATTAAAGTATAGGTAAAAGGAACCGAAGTCAAAGGTTTACAGCAATGCTCTAAAATTCATAAAGTTTGGATTTTTGGGCTCCCATGTTTATATTAGTTGAATCCCACGAAGGATTCTAAGAATTTGAAAAGGTTGCTTTCCACCTCCCTTTCCAGCTTGCACCTTGTGTCGTCCTTTCTTTTATGCCGGCCAAAAGGGATAAAACAAAAGACACAGGAAAGCAATAATAGAAGAAATTGTTGATTCATTTATTTTGACGGTTGCATTTGGTCGTTGTTGTCAGCTATCTATTAAAAAAGCACAAAAAGGCCTAGCTTCAACATTTGGAGCATGGAGGTTAAACTGGGCAGTGACAACGATTAAATCAACATAGAAAAGCAAGATTGAACCTTCCACGACAATGATTTGATCACATTTAATGGCAGCACAGTAAGGATAAGAGAGTACTTAAATAAAATAATGCATAATTACTTGAATATAAAATTTAACCCATCTTGTACATGGACTCTTTAACATCTACGAAATTTGATATAATTAGATTGAAATATTGAAGGAACAAAAACTTATTTTAAAGAATGAAAACAAACAAACAAAATAAATTTATTTATAGAACAATCATTTCTGTATCTTCAAAACATTATACCTTATGTTTTTTATTGTCTTAAATAAGGTAAATTTAGTGCTATCCATGAAAAAGAACAGCTTTTCAAGAATCTTCATTCCCGGGAGTATTTCATTTCTAAACACACAACATTTCTCACACTCTCAAGAATTTGAGACTATTTGACATACCAAATACAATATTGATTGAACTCTGAAATCCCACCTTAGATTAGATCTTTAAACTAAATTAATCACTACTAGTTTGGATTACTTTGAAGTGGTCAGCTTTTATAAAAATAAAACAATAATAATCGGGCGGCATCTTATTAAAAAGCTCAGATGCCTGAATATGACGAAGCAGAACAAGCTTTAGGCTGTGGGCTTGTAGCCAGCAGGCAGTCGCATTCATTATTTGGATCTGGCTTTGATCTCACAGATTACGGAAGAGTCAAAATAGGTCAATAAATGATTACATTTATTATTATTTATCATTACAAAAAGAGAAAAATGCCCAGTCCAAAAATTTAGAGGAGGGTTTTGTGTGGTATTAATTGAGAGATCGAGTATTAGAGCTCAATCAGTGCCGACAACCTGGCATCAACAGTTCTTTCGAATTATTTTTCGGTGCCATCCATCTTTGCTTTGTTGTCCTATATTGCTAAGAACTCACATCGTGTGTCCCACGCTGTAATGCGAGGACTGCAGGGAGGCCGCTGGTCGATGATCAGGGTCGCAAAATGTTCTGCTGGACTCAAGGGTCATCTGCATAAACAAGAACTCGTACCTAAAATGACCAATTCAACTTATCATGATGGCTGAGATTTGTCTTGCTCGATTTGTTCCTCACAGGCTTTAAAAAATTCAATACAAGGAACGAGTTTATCCTATTTGTGATCATGAAATTGCCATAAAAACATTTTTGTGTTGGTGAAAAGAATTCACTCTGAAATGGGGGGAATGTCTCTCCTCCTATGAATCATAAGGGTGTTTGGGATAATTACAAAGAATATTTTTTTATTTTTAAAATTTATTTATGATATCATATATCAAAACAATTCAAAAATATTAAAAAAATTAATTTTAAAAAAAAAATATTCAAAAATTAATGAAATTATAGTTCAACCACTACACTAAACATGCCTTTATCAACAACTTTTAGCCTTGTCTTTCATTATTGTATTAACTATAATAATTCACACATAGATTCATAGGAATGAAATAAATACTGAAATTATAACAAATGACATAGATTTGTGGATTAGCGTATTGGATTTAAATATCCATTTAAAAAACAAACTACCAACTTTAGCATATCTAATTGTTAAAATAAATTCAATTTTAAATATCTGTTATCCAAGGAAATATCAATTAATATATCTCACACTGATAATAAAATTATAGTTATAACACCCAGTTGGAATCATGAATTAACTCAGTATTTTTTTTTTTATCAAAAACAACCTTGTTATAGAGTTTTTTTTAAAATGAAATGATATTTTCCAGTAATCAAATGTTATTTAAAATAAAACATGACCCAAACAAAATTTTAGATCAACGTATGATTAGATTAACCCGCTGCAAGATGACACAGCGGCACAACAGATATGTGCTCTGCATGTGATTTTAGCTGAAACATAAAAAAAACAACCCATGACGGAAGGAGACAATCTAGATCATGGAAGAACAACCTTCACGTGTCAATTGTTTTCAGAAAAAGATCACAGATGATTGATGTGGCATTGATTGGGCAATACAAACCAAAACTTCTGCAATGACAGGGCAGCCGTGCAGTAAGGTCACCATCGTTTTTTGCTTTTTCTGAAATTCGGAAATCGTATATTATATGCACAATCTCTGTCTGAAGGCTGCATCTAATTTAATCGCTTTCATTAGGCCCACTAATCCCAGATGCCAGAACCTAACGACGGACGTTACACCAACGTCAAGTCGTCGACAATATTCAGCAGCAGCACCACCACCACATCGCGCGGGAAGGAAACCAAACCATTCACACACGCAACACACGCTTCTCCCTCCCTCCCTCTCTCATCGTGCCGGCCTCAAACTTTTATTATTCTCTCTCTCTCTAGAAGATAAAAGAAAAAGAAAAAGGAAAAAAACAATCTCCGAAAACAAAGAAAACGGTTTCTTTCTTTCTTAAAGTCCCTTATGCTCTCTAAAAAGATGGAAACGGTTTGCCTTTGAAATTCAAATAATAATAATGGCTTCTAATTCAACAGTGAGAGTCTCAAGCAGAGGAGCAGAGAGGCAACTGCTACAAACTCAAACTAATCCTCTCCATGGATCTTCTTCTTCGAGTTCCAGAAATGGAAATTCACAACAAAATAATAATAGTAATAGTAATAGCAGCCACTCTGCTGCTCGCTCCAAGGCTCCTCCTCCTGCTGCTGCTTCGAGACGCTCTGTTACTCCTTCCCGCACTCACTCTTTCGACTTCGATAACGGTCTCTCTCTTTCTCCTTTTGTTTCGTTTCTTTGCTTAATTTTGTTATTCAGGAAGAGAAAGAAAAATAAAAAACTGCATAGAAATCGATTTTTTTTATAATTCTAGATATTTGATTAATTATATCAAGTTAGCTATTTTTCTTGTAAAAGAAAGAAGTTAAATTAGCACGAATATTTGTTTTCTCTAGAAATGTCAATGATTATAGTAATTAATTTTTTTTTCTTTTTGTGTGTTGCTAATGACAGATCATGGAAGAGTGAGAGTAGCTGTTAGGTCACGGCCAAGGAATGCAGAAGAACTCATTTTAGACGCTGATTTTAACGATTGCGTTGAATTATTTCCCGAGGTCAACTTTTTTTCCTTTCTTTTTCCTTATGTTTTACGTGCTGAAATCAGAACTCATATGTGTGTTATGTTTTATGTCTCTGATTAACTTGTTTTTATTTTATTTATTTTTGAAATCAGAACTCATATGTGTGTTATGCAGCTGAAGAGGTTGAAATTGAAGAAGAACAATTGGAGTTCTGAATCCTATAGATTCGACGAGGTTTTCACAGAAACTGCTTCTCAAAAAAGAGTTTACGAAGTCGTTGCAAAGCCTGTTGTAGAGGTAATTAACTCACATTGATTAGAGTATCTATGTTTACTGTGTATGCGCGCAAATTGGTTTTGGAAGAAATTAAAGTGATTGTATGGTTTGGATGGCATGTTGATCATAGACTGGAAATTTTTTGATATACTTTTT